TCTTTCATTGTTCACTCATTAGGTTACCATTGTTTGTCAAACAAAACTTGATGGAAGATTTGCCAAACAATTCAGAAAACCAGGAGGATATGCAAAACAACCAATGCAACGACGCAAATGTAACTTTTTTTGCTAAGAAATTGTTTTATGTAATTTTTGTTCGCGATCACCATTCAGCAAACTAGTGCTAAATACATAGACAGTGTACGAAAAACATTAATCGAACAAAATTAATTTCTTTAGAACTCAACTTCCGAAATATAAATTCGAAACTCAACTCCCGAAATATATTAAACCATTCGTAACTTAACTTTCGAAATATATTAAATAATTCGAATTCCAACTTCCGAAATATGTTAAAATATTCGGCTTTGAAGTTCTGAGCTTCTTCTTTCTCCATTTTGTTTTTTTTTTTTTGTGTGTGCGGAAAGTATCTTCTCAAGTAAGTGAGGTTCAATTTGATTGTGTATTGGACCACACTAGTCAATTTACAACAAATCAGGTACACGGTCATCAATCACGTAGCATAACGACCACTAATATTTGTGTGGGCTAATATGAGGGCATGCACACATTTTTTATTAAATAGGTATATTTGGAATGTAAGGTGTGTGAACTGAGATAAATGCCTAAGAATTAAATTACTAAATGGCTGGAGTGAGAAAGAATGTGCACAGAGACAATATGGTGTATGGAAATAGAATTTCCCAAAGTATTGATCTCTTATCAATAAAAAAAAAAAAAATTCCTTGGACCTAATGCCTTAGAATAATGTTAGGGATCATGAAAAAAATATCATGAAATGCTTCATGAAAATTTTCCATCCTTTTATTAGTGTGTGCTGTTTTATTGTATGTGTAATCTAATTGTACCTCCTTATATTAGATTTATCACCAATTAGCCCTCAATAAGATTGGTAATCCTTTTTCTTTTTGTGTGTGTGTGTGTAACATAGTTAATGTATGATTTTTTTTTTTTTTTTTATCAATTTTAATCTTGAGAGCATTTTTTCAAAAAAAGCTGTTGTAACAGGTATTATCGATAGTATTTTGTAATTGCATGCATTTAGAAAATAATTTGGTCTTTTATTATGATTCATGTAATGCTAGGGATCATGAAAAAAATATCATGAAATGCTTCATGAAAATTTTTCATCCTTTTATTAGTGTGTGCTGTTTTATTGTTTGTGTAATCTAATTGTACCTCCTTATATTAGATTTATCACCAATTAGCCCTCAATAAGATTGGTAATCCTTTTTCTTTTTGTGTGTGTGTGTGTAACATAGTTAATGTATGATTTTTTTTTTTTTATCAATTTTAATCTTGAGAGCATTTTTTCAAAAAAAGCTGTTGTAACAGGTATTATCGATAGTATTTTGTAATTGCATGCATTTAGAAAATAATTTGGTCTTTTATTATGATTCATTACATCAATGGAATTTTTTTTTATCTTCAATTTGTATAATGATTTATAAGACTTCTAATTTGAAAATAAATTTAAACAATTAATATCATTAAAAATGTCATGTTCTTGAAACTTTTGAGGTTAAGATAATTTAGAAATATATGTATATATCATCATCTAATAATTTATTTTTTTTTAACAAAAAAAATATCTTCAAACAATTCAAAATGTTGAAATCTACCCTCAATGTGATAACCCAAAAAGATCTTTCTTTGGTTTGGAAGAATTTAGCAAGTAGTTTTTGTTTCACTGTTTGGACTCGTAACAAATTTGAAAAATAAACTGATGTTTTGGTTTGACTATATGAACCATGATTATTTTTGAAATCAGAGAAAAACACTAGTGTTTTACCAATTCTGGGGTATTTTGGGAAGTTGGTAAAAAATTAGTTTTTGATTTTTTATCAAGTTTTTTAGTTTTTTGAAAAGTGATTTAGGAAGTTGGTAAAAAGCTGACTTTTAGCTTTTTAGTTTAATATTTTTTTATGGTGTCAAATCAAATTAAAATGATCAAATTACCCTTATCCAACATAAGAAATTTATTTTTTTATTTTTTTGTCATAGGCTCCAATTTATAATTTCACACTTACATTTTTATAACTTCCCAAACCAATTTTGTTGCGTCTTTGCCACTTGCGTTTTTAGACCTTTTGACAAAAACGTGACTTTTTATTTTGGTTCCCAAAACGGCACTAAGAGTTATTACTAAGGGTCTTTATCAATAACTCTTTTTTTTTCTTTTTTTTTTTGGGTGAGTAAAATATCTCTGTGTTTGAATAATATATTTAAGTATAAATTTGGAAAAGGAATTAGAAAATATGAGAGAAACATGAATGAAATAAAATTTTTTTCTTTTTTTCTATTTTTTCCCCGTACTTTATAAATTTTTATCTAAATTCATAATTTGAACACAACATAAGAATTCTAATAATTTAGGACATTATCAAATTTGGGGCCTATGGTGATTGCTCACTTGCCTTATGCAAGGGGTGCCGCTACTAATTTTACAAATTGTCATTTATCGAGAGTATCACATAAATAATGTCACCTCACGTAAATCTCCAAAATTACCTAATAATCTTTTTAGACTTGTATCCTTTTCCACTGATGCATGAATGAGTAACTCATAAGGACAATCGTTTATGCCAACTCTCCTATGAACTTGACTGTGGGATTGTTGAATTCCTGGTTTTAAGTTCATCTTTTCTATTCATTGTATAACACTGCAACAGAGGTAATTAAGCCATTAAGCTGTTATCTAAGTTTCATTAGAAAATTAAAAAAAAATTCTTATTAGCAAAGGTTTCAATTTTTCAAAGATTTAGTTAGTCAAGTTTTTATTTTAATATTTAATCTGAAATTTTCAAAAATCTTGAGGCACTACAACACTACACTAAAGGGTATATTTTTGAGGATATGCTTCTCCAAATGCATCACATGAATTTTAAATATTTAAGATGATGAAGGAAAGTTCAAGCACATAGAGGTTATCACGAGTCTAGTAAAAATCAGATATATGCAAACTTATTCAGGCATGTAGAGAGAATATTTCCATGATTTGATACAAAAAAGTCTTATCACTATTGTAGAGTCTGAGAAGGATCAAATACACGTAATATTAAGACATACAGAGAAATTAACGTTCAGATCACTATAAAACAACTTTACTATTATGTGAAAAGCTCATCGATGGTAAAAAATGGCCACAAGCTCCCAAAATGTAATAATGTGGCACCAAAACTTGTAATAATTTGGCACCAAAATATTATGTGAAAAGCTTGTCAATGGTAAAAAATGGCCACAAGCTCCCAAAATGTAATAATTTGGCACCATATTTTGGACTAAAATAACTAAATGGTGTTTCACATGGGGCCATAGGAGTCAATACAGTTTGGATCTGTTTGTTTGGAAGGATTAGGGGGTGGGATTGGACTATTAGTTCCACCAGACTAATAGTCTATTATTTGTTTCAATTTTTTTGCTTCGGACTAATAGTCTCCTCGGACTATCAGTCGCATATTTGTGGGACTATCCTATCCCATGGGGGGGTGGGATTATTTCCATGAGATTGGTATCTCAGGGGATTAGGCTTTGAAATGTCTATTTTACCTCCATGCTATTACTTAGCAAACAATTAGAAAAGGGTAAAATAGTCTTTTGAATATTTATAAATTATTTTTTTAGTATTGTTAATTTAAAATTATATATTAAATAAAAATTATAAATAATAAATTATAAATTATAAATTTAATTTAATTAAAAATAATAAATTAAAAATTATGGCCTTATAAATTAAATTTTTTTAGTGTTGTTGAAAATTTAATTTATATATTAAATAAAAATATTTTTTTAGTGTTGTTAATTTAAAATTATATATTAAATAAAAACATAAATTACAAATTTAATTTAATTAAAAATTATGGCCTTACAAATAAATTTTTTTTAGTATTGTTAAAAAATTAAATTTATATATTAAGTAAAATTATTTTTTTAGTGTTGTTAATTTAAAATTATATATTAAATAAAAAATATAAATTATAAATTTAATTTAATTGAAAGTAATAAAGGCCTTATAAATTAATTTTTTTTAGTGTTGTTAAATTATAAATCATAAATTATAGATTAGAAATTTAAAATTATATATTAAATAAAAACTATAAATTACAAGAGTAAAATAGTCTTTTGAACATTTGTCCTTATCCAGTCCGTCTAACCAAATATTAGATTCACTAAAAATAATCCAATCCAGACATCTAATCCCATGACTAAACAAACATAGGAAATAAATTCAATCCAACCAAATAATCCCAGAATAATATATCCCAAAACTAATAACTTGATGAATTATAATTTTCTTTATCCAGTCCGTCCCAACAAACGCGGCCTTTGAGGATAAGGAAGAACACTGAGGCAACGCCAATCAACCTGCAATATATTTTGATAGACAGTCACTACTATCCAAAAATAAAAGGCATATCATGACTCTGAAGGTAGGCTCTATATTAATAAATAAATTGGTTTGCATATGCACTTTGTTGATTATGTCTGTTCATTCAGACATAAAAGGCCAATCCAACAAACTCATCGGTTTTGAGAGCTACCAGTCTCACATTCCCAACCACTTATTAGGGTTTTGTTACCAACATAGAAATCAATCATAAATATAAAACACTATGCATATAAATAAATAAGATTTTATTATATGTAAGGGTTGTGATAAAGAGTTCTAAAAGTAAAATTTTACTGAGATGGCATTGAAAAAAAGTAAATAAATTCAAAACAACAAATCATAGGTGGATCCCACTTTATTAGAACTCTCTTTTTAGAGTTTCAAAACATTTTTATATATATAATATATTGACAAGGCCCACTTATAGAACAACAATGATACATATTCTTCTAAAACTAAAGTTCTAATTGAGCTCTAGTGAGATAGAAAGTCAAAAAGAAAAAAGAAAAAAAGAAAAACAATGTCACATCAAATGAGCCCTACATACACATTAGAGCTATTAGATCTCACAAATTAGAGCTTCAAAATATTTTTGCTTCTTATGTTTATATATATTCTGAATTCAATTCTGTAATGAGTTCTGTATTCTTAAATTTATCCAACCTCAAAATGTGCAGTGCTATTGCCCTATATAATCCAAGTAGCTAGTAGACACTCTTTCATCATATGCTTCTATAGGGTTCTTGTGAGCAAATGGAAAGCCATAAAGACACCTCTGATAAGGGTACTGAGGAGGAAAAAGGTATTAACTTCAAAGAGCTTCTTTTCTTTCTTTTGTTCAAGTAGAGCTAATGATTTTGGTTTGCTCTTTGTGATCAGAGGTAACAATTCAAAATTCTCAGCTAGAATTCTCTGAAGATGAGGAAATGCTCATAGCTAGGATGTTTAGCTTGGTTGGAGAGAGGTTTGTAATTATTACGAGTATGATTGTTGCAATTTATTTTAAGTTGAAAGTTAATAATTTATGAACTTATTTGGTGTAATTTTTTTAAAGTTGAAAGTTGATAATCAAAAAGATAAAATCACCTCTTTCTTAACTTTCAAATAATCAACTTATTTAAATTATTTTTGCCGTATAAGCATAAATTACACCAAATATTCGGCTAATTCCTAAAATAAAAGAATAAGAGAAGTTATAAGCAACTCTAATAAGTCACACCAAAAGTGGCCAATGAAGTTGTTTGGTGCAACTTATGGAGTTGCTTTATAGCTTCTTCTTTTTTTAGAATTTTTTTACGAAAGTGTTTGATGTAATTTCTATTTACAGTTTATAAGGAAAAATTGTTTAAACATGTTATAAAAAGATGATTATTGGAAAGTAGGGGAGAATTGTTTTTCGCTTCTGATTTTTTATTATTAGCTTTGAGCTTGTTAGAAGTTGCACCAAATTGACCCATAAACATAATATAAAAACACTCACCTTGCCTCAGGATAATAAAAAAATATCAGTTTATTTAAACTATTTTTTCCACATAAACTATAAGTAAACTACAACAATAATCTCACAGAAGCGTAAAATTTATTTTTTTTTAAAAAAAAGATCACTTAATCTTCATCAAACAACACCAATCTCTTAAAATATGCTTATGTGTGAAGTGGTAATATGGGGGCAGGTGGCCTTTGATCGCTGGAAGAATCCCAGGGAGAACAGCAGAAGAGATTGAGCAGTATTGGACTGCCAAAAATGCTTCATCAAGTGCTGAAAGATAAAGTTCTCTCTTAGTGCCATGCTTGGCTAGTCTGTTAATTGGCTCTAATGGATTCTTGTAGATTACATTCAAGGGTTGTCCTAAAATGTACAACTATTATGCTATGTGTGTTATTTGGGGTTGTAGTTCTCATTGCATGTGTGTTATTTGGAGTTATTGTGGAGTGGACGTTTAACATTTCAAATTTTAATAACAAACTATAAAAAATTGTAAAAAAAAATTTTTGAATTATAGTTTTCACCCGTGTGACAAAATTAAAATTTGATTTTAACATTACTTAAATTAAAACAATAGGAACTCGAATTTGAGTTAAACTACAAGATTGAAAAGTATAGTTTACCAAAAAAAAACTAACACTATCAAAATTTTCCCACTCATTATATCTAAACTTGTTAAACGGATCAAACTACTAAAGTTCGACTTGTGTTCGGCTCGTTAAAAATTCGTTCAAGATCAACTTGTTATGTAAACTAGTTAAATTTAAATATATTTTTAAACTCATTAATTTTTAAAGTCAAGCTTGGACCAATCTACGACTCACATCGATAAACTTATATGCCCTATGAAAATCAAGCTAATCAAACAGATCAATTTATTATATAAACAAGTCAAACTTAAACACAATCACAATTTGAAACTCATCAAATTATCAAATCAAGTTATGAATAACCTAGACTCATTTTCAACCCTAATTATATAAACATTTCAAATGCTAAAGCCCAAGCCCAAAATTTTGGTGGGCCTCTGGCCTACTATAAACCCAACCCATTTCAAATCCCCTGTTTTTGCTCTGAAGAGAGACTTTCAAATCCCCTGTTTTACACCCTAGTTCTTCTTTCCTCTGCTACATAGAGGTTAGAGAGAGAGGGAGAGAGGGAGAGAGAGAGAGAGTTTTTAGAGAGAGAAACAATGGAGTTTGAGAAGAGAAAGGCAGCAACACTAGCATCAATGACTTCACCAGAATCAGACAAATCACCAAAAGGCACCATAGACACACCCATAATCCCCCTTCTCAACACCATCAACTCCTTTTGTATTTTTTGATATTTAGTGTATTTTTTTAAAGATTTTTCACAAATATTATACTTTTTAAGTGTATTATATTAGATTTGTCTAAAAATTTTAAAAAAATGCTTAAAATATTAAAAAATTCATTGAAAACATTAAAATACGAAAAATAAAGAAATATAATTTTTAAAAAATTATTTTCTGAAAACTATAACCAAACAACCTGATTTTTTTCCTCTTGTTTATTTGTGTTAGGAAAAGGAGAAGAAAATAAAAATCAAATTTCTTTTTGACTTACCTGTAAATAGTCAATAAGTAATTTCCTTTCTTTTTATTTTTCTTTCACTTGACAAATTTAAGATTAAAATATGTATTATATTATAGGGCGCATCCTTTATAGAAGAGAGATATAGAAATAGTTAAAGAATAATGTTATATACACTAATTAGTATATTAATTAGTGTATCAATTAATAATGTGACATAATTTAAGATATTTTTGATATTTATAATTTTTATAATGAGTGAGGTAAATAATAATATCATAACTAGTGTTGATATACTAGTTAGCAGTGGCGGAGCCAGAAATTTAATTTAGAGGGAGCACTTACTAATTATAATAATTTTTACAAAAAATATTTCACGTAAATTTTTTACGATTGATTTCAGGAAGCATAAAAAAAAATATTATTTATAACTAGTGTATCATGGACAATACCAAAAAAAAAAAATATGGATGTAAACCTTAAAATAAATTATATAATGATAAATTATTTTTTGATACAAAAGTTGATTAAAAATTCAATATAATGGTAATACCATGTTATCATTGGTATGTAATATCACCCACTAATGGTAAATAAATGCATAAAAAGTGAACCTCACATGTCAAATGTAACTAACAATCTAATAAATTTCATATCTTTATAATGAGATTACTTATACTTACATATCACTAATAATGATATCGTTGTTACATTCAAAAAATTTCATAGCTAATATAGTTTATTTATAATAGTCTCTTTATTTTCAATCAAAACAACCATTATTGTTTTCATAATTTTTAAAATGTCATTGACATTTCACTCTAATAATATTTTTGTAATTTTTTATTTAATTTTTTTTTCTGTTTGAAAAAAAAAAAAAAAATTCCAAAATCCAAGGGGCATGTGACCCCCTGGTCACATGCTGCTTCCGCCCCTGATAGTTAATACACTAATTAATGTATATAGTACCATCGATAAAGGATGGCAAGCCTAGACATGTTGTTAGTTTTCAGTAATAAGAGAAAATAGTATGAAATAAATGGACATTTTCAAGTGAGGAATATAGAGAGATTTTGATATGATGCAAGTTTTGGAATACTAGGCAGCAGGAGTTGTAGAAATGTCTTAAATGCTAAGTCCCTTTAGGGCACAAGAAAAAAGTGATGTTAATAAGTGCTTCAAGACACAAAAATAAATAAATAAATAAAGAATACAAGATATATTTTTATTAATTTAATTTTTTTTAACCATTTTCAAAGTTTTTTTTTTAAATTTTTTTTAATTTTTTTTTCATAAATTCTAATATTAAACAATGTCAAAAGCATTTGTTAGTATTTACTTACTATCTTAAATAAAAATTACAAGTAATTTAGTTCAAAATTGTTGAAAACATAACCAGAATGAATTATTGTAAAAATATAGAGTTATTATGGAGCGCACGTTTAACATTTCAAATTTTAATAACAAACTATAAAAAATTGTAAAAAAAAAAAAAAATTGAATTATAGTTTTCACCCATGTGACAAAATTGAAATTTGACTTTAACATTGCTTAAATTAAAACAATAGGAACTCGAATTTGACTTAAACTACAAGATTGAAAAGTATAGTTTACCAAATAAAAACTAACACTATCAAAATTTTCCCACTCATTATATCTAAACTTACTAAACGGATCAAACTACTCAAATTCAACTTGTGATCGACTCGTTAAAAATTTATTCGAGATCAACTTATTATATAAACAAGTTAAATTTAAATATATTTTTAAACTCATTAATTTTTTAAGTCAAGCTTGGACCAATCTGCTACTCACCTCGGTAAACTTATATGTCCTATAAAAATCAAGCTAATCAACCAGATCAACTTATTATATAAACAAGTCAAACTCAAACACAATTTGAAACTCATCAAATTATCAAATCAAGTTATTAATAACCTAGACTCATTTTCAACTCTAATTATATTCAAATGCTAAAGCCCAAGCCCAAAATTTTGGTGGGCCTCTGGCCTACTATAAACCCAACCCATTTCAAATCCCCTGTTTTTGCTCTGAAGAGAGACTTTCAAATCCCCTGTTTTACACCCTAGTTCTTCTTTCCTCTGCTACATAGAGGTTAGAGAGAGAGGGAGAGAGGGAGAGAGAGAGAGAGTTTTTAGAGAGAGAAACAATGGAGTTTGAGAAGAGAAAGGCAGCAACACTAGCATCAATGACTTCACCAGAATCAGACAAATCACCAAAAGGCACCATAGACACACCCATAATCCCCCTTCTCAACACCATCAACTCCCACCCCTGTTTCTTCACCACCAGCTCTTGCTCCGGCCGCATCTCCGTCCTCTCTCAACCACCCATCGCCGCCGCAACCAACAAAAAAGCCAAAGGTGGCACATGGGTCTTCATCACCCACTCCAAAGCTGACCCAGAATCACTTCTCAACCTCCTCTCCTCCGCCAAAAACCCAGACCCAACTCACCCACCTTCCAATCTTGTCTTCCGATTCGAACCATTGATCATTGCTGTTGAATGTAAGCACGTTTTGTCAGCTCAGACTCTGGTTTCTTTGGCTGTTTCATCTGGGTTTAGAGAATCGGGGATTACTAGTGTGAATAAACGTGTGATTATTGCGATTCGGTGTTCGATTCGGCTCGAAGTGCCGTTGGGAGATACGGAGAATGTTTTGGTGAATTCGGTGTATTTGAGGTACCTTGTTGGGATTGCCAATGAGAAAATGGAGGTGAATTGGCGGAGAACTGATGGTTTTTTGAATTTGTTGTTGAGGAATGGTTTTGGTGGAACTGAAGTGGGAGAGAATGGTGAGCAGGAGCCATTGTTGGTGAAAGAAGATGATAAAGATGGGTCAATAAAGATTCCAGATATGAATTTGTTGAATAATGCTCATGATAGAGATATGGATTCAGATGCAAGAGTGCCCAATGACACCCATTTCGGTAACTGATCGTTTCGTCTTACCGGGTTTCAAATTAACTCAGATAGTGAATGTATTGTGTGTGTGTGTGTGTTCAATTTTGAATTGTAAGTTGTTTGATAGTTAATCATATGTATATTTTATATAAATCCTCTCTCTCTCTCTTCTTTTTTTTTTTTTTTTGGGGATATTTTTTTTTTTTTTTTGGGAGGATATAGATATGCATATGCAACAATGCCCAATGTCAACCGATCATTTCATCTTACCGTGTTTCGAATTGACTTATTTGTCTTCAATTTTGAATTGTTAAATTGTTTGATTGTTAATCATTTGTATGTTGTGTATGAAAAACTATATAATATATATTGGATATGCTGCTAGAGTTACGACTGTCTGAACATTCACAGATTCATTTGTTTATGTACAAGTTCGACCTTTGTTGGAAGAATGCTTGGCTGGGATGTAAGAGCAAACTCACTACAAAAGAAGAAGAAAAAAATTGAATCTTGTTTCCTCTATGGCTCAATCTTGCTTTATCATTTCAAATGAACTTTTGCCTGTACATGATCTCAAACCTGGCCGTGTATTTGGGATCACGTCCATCAGGATATCCTAATCCACAATTTTGACCATCTAAGTGAGAACTTTTGTGATTCTCATTCCCTCCACCCTACTTATAAAAGGGGAAAAAAAAAAAAAATACAAATCTGATTCCCTCTACCCCGAAGTTAGCATATTTCTATCATTTATATTTTTCATGTAATAGGTACAGGTGTAGAAAACTACAACGCAAATCAATTAAATTTCTAGGTGGATTTCAGGATGTTCAAGTATGATTGTCTAGATGAACTTTCTGTTATCTTTTCTTTTTTCTTTTCTTTTCTATTTTTTTTATCTTTTTTTTCCGCCCACTTAACTAATGTGTTCCACAAATTCAAATATGTATCTGCAAGAAATAGATTCTATGGGAAATTACACATCGGTATAGAAGATAAAAATAATTAGAAACACATTGGGGGGTGCAACTTTTTCTGTGCAAAGAAACCATAGCAAAAGTTGTTCCCAACCTTTTGGTAAATAATTTTTGGTCTTCCTCACTGTCTTATAATTTCCCCTGATTCTAACTTAACTGTATTGCTAGGAATATCCACATCCACTGACGTCTTATTCATTCCAATTTTCCAGTATCTGATGTTTACTCGAATCTAATCAAAAAATTAATTTCTGTTTAGTAACAAAGAACATACAATTGCAACATACTGCGAAGAATACATATGAACCTTAAATATTTAATTTGGTAAGGCATATGATACATGGATGCTTTAGCAGTTTGTTACATACTAATATATGTTTGATTGCAGGACAATTTCCTTTAATGTGACAGCAAGTCTGAATCTTTAAATCATTGGCAGGGTCTTCAGGAGTTTTGGATATCTGTCTACCTATGGTTCCGATGGTAATCGTTGGTGAACCTGTTGAGAAGCTTTTTCTTTGGGGTCACTCTGCCTGTACATTGGATGACATAAACCATAAAAAAGTTCTTATTTTTGGTGGTTTTGGAGGCATGGGAAGACATGCACGTAGAAATGAATCTTTACTACTTGACCCATTATGTGGTAAGTTAGAAACAATCAGCGTTCAGAGGGCTCCAGCTCCACGCATGGGTCACACCTCTTCTATGGTTGGTGATCTTATGTTTCTTATTGGAGGGAGGGCTGATCCGGTAAATATTTTGAATGATATTTGGGTTCTTAATACAGAAACCAGTGAATGGAAGTGGTTAGAATGTACAGGCACTGTATTCCCTCCAAGGTGATGATGTCTCTAACACATCCATTTTCTATTGTTGTTTTGTCTGTTTTAGTGCCTTGACAATGTTGATAATTATATCATGTGTCTCCTGAGATATAATTTAATATCAATAATATTGTTTTTAAATATTATCTTTCTGGTGAAAAATGAATATTCAAACATTTTGACTCATAGGTCAGATTGGGCGAAATTTATTGTCTTTGCATCTTTTAAAAAATATTTTCAATAATGCTACACTTGCTACATTTCTATACCATATTATGTTTGTCATCTTACTTGTGAATACAATATTAGTGTAACGGGTCTCACTACTCATATATCTCCAATGCAGTACAACTAAGTTGACACATCAGATGGTAAGATAAGGTAGTAGAAATAGATGGTCATTTTAGCATTATTCAAATATTTCTGATTGCCTTTCTGTCCATTTATATTTCTCCTGCAAAAGAAATTGTTGATTTGGTCCTTTAAACTACTAAATTCGTATGATATTTTACAGGCACAGGCATGCAGCAGCAGTTATAGATTCAAAAATATATGTATTTGGGGGACTTAATGGTGAAATAATCTCTTCAGCACTCCATATCCTTGACACGTCTAGTTCGGAGTGGAATGAGATACAAGTCCAAGGGGAATGGCCATGTCCTCGTCATTCGCATTGGGTTTTACAACTTGAAAAAAAATATGCAAAATTGGGAAAGGACATGTTGAAGAAGTTTGGATGGTTAGATCTTGGGAGAAAGGTTTATTCCAAAGAAAATGGAATACATATTTGCTTCCCCGTCACTCAAAAATTTTGCACTACATACCGTGATAAGCAAAATCATCCTGGTGGTGCATTGGAAGTGTTGGATGACATCAACCCATTCAAGGCATTTAGTTAGTGAGCCAATCAAAGTGAACTTGCTTCCATTAATGTCTTTAGGATCCAGCTCAATGCCAATTGAAATTGGAGTGAAAGATACCATTTATAAAGATGAAGGGGTTGTAGAGAAAGAAAACAATGAGTTTCAAATTCGACAGAAGAGTATTGCAAAAATGTCAAATGAAGGTCCAGACCTGAAGTTTGAGACTGAACGACTAGGAACAGATGTTGAACATCAGATTGGTGCTTCACATTGGGTTTTACAACTTGAAAAAAAATATGCAAAATTGGGAAAGGACATGTTGAAGAAGTTTGGATGGTTAGATCTTGGGAGAAAGGTTTATTCCAAAGAAAATGGAATACATATTTGCTTCCCCGTCACTCAAAAATTTTGCACTACATACCGTGATAAGCAAAATCATCCTGGTGGTGCATTGGAAGTGTTGGATGACATCAACCCATTCAAGGCATTTAGTGGAGAGGGTGTGTTATCAAAGGATTTCACTTGCTTAACATCCTTGAATCTTCTAATGGCATCTGGTGCAACAATACTTGCAGATGAGGTGGTGAAAGTGAAAAAAATTTCAAGCGCTCCTCTCAAAGTGATGAGTGAAGCTGTAGCTAATTTGCTAAAGCACAAAGGCCTACCTACTGAACTCTTAGACCAGCTACCCACAAGGTTTGTGTTTCATATCTTTATTTCTTCACCTTTTATTTGTCGATTGATTAATAAGATGCTGCATTTCAGCTACGTAATTAACTCATTTATTATTTGCACTTTTGTCTGCATCAGGTGGGAGCGACTAGGGGATATTATTGTGCTTCCAATGACATCCTTCAAGGATCCAGCATGGGATTCAGTTGGAGCTGAGCTTTGGCCTATTGTTGCCAAATCACTTGGTGCCCGGAGACTTGCTCGGCAGGTAAGTTCCATAAACAAAACTGCATCTGATTTGCCATGTCTGCTTGTTGATGTTGTCTTTCGTTTAATGGGCTTCAAAACATATTTATTCATGCCGATTTGGTGTAGTGTATTTTTTATTGAGCTGCTCTTGTTCGACATGTTATATTACACAGTGGAGGGAAGTCATATGGAATTTGTATATTTATGTTCATTAAATTGGTTGCTAATTGTAACTCTATGGAGACTTCAAACATGTAAATTGTAATATAGTGACAATACAAATTTAATGTGCCAAATATTATTGAGCATGGCCACTTTCTAGCTGGAACAATAGACAACCGGAGATTCTTTTGTTTGGCACCAATAACACCAATGCTGTGTTGTTATAATGTTGTAATACTATCTGTTATCTGCATATCCATTGAGCTCACTGTCAAGACAAGTCATAGAAAATTCCCTTAAAATTTCAGTCAGCAAAATGATTTTGATGCATTTGTATTTGGTTTATAGTGAATGGCTCTCTGTTAAATGATTGTACTGGTATTGCTAGGGCCGAGTTGCTCCAACTGGAACTAGGGACAGTTCTTTGGAGGTTCTTGTGGGAGATAATGGCTGGGTTGACCATCGGGAAAATGGAATTCTCTATTCCTTTGATTCAACCAAGTGCATGTTCTCCTGGGGCAATCTTTCTGAGAAGCTTAGGATGGCCCGTCTTGACTGTAGAGATGAAGTTATTGTGGATTTATTTGCTGGCATCGGATATTTTGTGCTGCCATTCCTTGTCAGGTATACAGTGATTATCAGTTTGGTATTCTGATCGAGTATGATATCTGTGTTGCTAGTCAATGTAATGCGTACTATGTTTGTCATTATGAGATCTAAGCTCTTGCTTGGGGATCAGAGTTCAGAAGAATTTTCTAACATGACAGAGGGACCATGCTCTATAACTATGGTCATTATTAGACAGTCTATGCAGTTGCTAGCCTTGCATTTTTTGCCCTTTGGTATTTCTAGTAACAATAATTTGGTTGATCAGGGCCAATGCAAAACTGGTTTATGCCTGTGAATGGAATCCCCATGCTGTTGAGGCACTCAGACGTAACCTTCATGCTAATTCTGTTTTGGATAGTTGCATCGTACTTGAAGGAGATAACCGAGTTACAGCGCCTAAAGTATTCACCTTGTCTTTATTCTTGGTTGATGAAAATCTAAATTTTTTGTTTTCATTTATTATTTGCATTGTGGTTCTGTTGTGATGATCTGGATGTCAGAGTTATTTTGAATCGTTGGAACCTATCATCATCAAGCTTCTACTAGTGTTTTGGGTTAATGTTGATCTTCTTTTTAACGATTTGAAATAGGAAACTATAATCTAATTTTTGCTTTCCTTGCATTAGATCGCAAGGAGGAACGACTTGAATAAGTTATATAATAAGTTAATTGAAGTCAAACACGATTTCATTATTACTTATCTAAGTCGTGTTTTCAAAAGACAATTTCATGAAACAATCTAGGTCTGAGAAATAAGATACCATACCACTTGGGTTTGGTAATAAATTCTGTCAAGTGACTTGGATAGAATTGTATACATGCAGACAAATTATCAAATAACAATACATTAATTCAGTTGCTGCTGTGAGGTGTCACTTGGTTCAGTCTGTTTTAATATGTTGCTTAATTGTTGTTTCCTACTTGTACTTATTTTACTTTACGGAAGCTTACATCCAAGTATCAATCATTAAATCTTCTCTCTCCTTGAGTGGCAATAACAGTTCAAAATCTCATCTGCTGATATGTTTGGAAAGATTACTACAAAATGACTTTGACTTCGACTATTTCACAACTCCTATTACACTCTATCCCTCCAGATTAGCATCTTTGATGACAAATTCTCATTTGATCACACGAGGAAGTTTTGTGCTACTGATGTCACTTAATTTTTTTTAATTTGTTTTTACAGGGAGTGGCTGATCGAGTCTCTCTTGGTCTCTTGCCTACTAGTGAGGGTAGTTGGGTTACTGCTGTAAGGGCATTAAGGTATTTTTCTCTGATTATTTTATAGATTGTACCTCTTGATGACTTCTTCATTCTTGGCACCTTAATATTATTCATTTCTATGCCTGTGCTACTTTGTTGAGTTTAAACTTCTTTCACAAAGTGTTCAAATGACCACTGAAATTTGAATTTCATTTGATGTATGTGTTCTATCCTGGATGGGATTCCAAGACTATTCCGTTATTATCCTAACAGTTTTGCTTTTGATGCTTTAGTTTACTAAGATTACATCTAGGTGTGTCAGTCAAGCTCCCCCCATAACCTGTATAAATTGCTTCGTGACTTAATTGTTTATTGATTTCGGAAATTATTACCGTTTCAGTGTATGCTGTACTTTTGTATGATTTGATCTAATACTTCTACATTCTGTTGATGGGTCTGGCCAATTACAGTGACATGCGTTCCAAACAAAGTAAATCAAACCTAATTTGGAGAGAATCTGTCAGTTGATATTCTCCCACTATAATATTATCTTAATTTCTTACATGTTTCCATGGCAAATTATTGTTGCCGGAAAAAAAAGGATTGTCCCAACACAATTGCCTTACCTCTGTTCATTTCCATATGAACTTTTTTTTGATCTATAGTTTGCTTTTTCTTTTTATCTTTCTTTTTGTCTCTACTGTTCTCTTTTTTGTTTTATTGTCTCCTTTTCTTTTTGTTTTTTGGGATTCCTTCCTTCCTTCCTTCCTTCCTTCTCTCTCTCTCTTTCTCTGCTTGAATGGACATGTTATTAACACAGGAGTGAGGGTGGAATATTACATGTGCATGGGAATGCAAAGGACTCAGAGGAGGGTTTTTGGACACAACATATTTTGAAATCCATTTATGAAATTTCTAGATCGGAAGGTATCGTGTCTTCAACTTAAGAAAATTCTACTTTGGTGTGGTGCATGATTTGGCCTATTATTTTTTCAATCAAACAAACAGACAATTAGAAACATTATATATTTTATGGGAAATATTCATTTTCCCTGAACTTTTGGCAACTAGCATTCAAAAATAATCCTCACCAAGCAGTTAAATTGATGAAATGCTAAGAGTTCCTCTGAGCTTGATAGTTTTGATTTTTTTTGTTATTCATAGGTTATTTGTGGGAGATTTCAATAGAGCACGTGGAGAGAGTAAAATGGTACGCCCCACACATTCGCCATCTTGTCGTGGATGTGAGATGCAAACAAATACAGAGATGACGGTGGGAATTGTATGCTCCACGATTGCCACAAAGTATGCTACTACATGAGAAAACCAAATTTGTACACAGATAATAGATGTCAAGCTTTTGATTGGATGGTCTTGTTACCATCATGTGCTATGGTGACCAATTGACCTTGGGGAGAAATGCTCCAAGACCTAAATCTTAAAGACAAGCGGAGATACTTTAGCTCACATCTTAACCCATGGTTGATGAGTGAGACAATCAAGGAAGTCCCTCCGAATTGGATAAAATGTCCAACGACCTTTCCTTTCCTTTTCATTGGGGAGTTAGAAAATTGTTGTTGTTTATTTAGAGTACTAACACTTGAAATTCATTGAAGATGTTAATTTTTTAATCATCAATGGTTATATGGCTGCATAATGTGCGTTAATAATGGCAAGTTGATCTCTAGTGTGTACTTTTTTAGATATATATCTTTTTAGACGCTTTTTTTTACGAGGGCTGGGTTTCTCTTCAGTCCGTGATTAGACTGGAGGGTACTGTTGGGCCCATGGAGGTTCACTACGGGTTCTGTTCGATAATCTGAACTATTCAATGTATAGAACTCGTCGAGTTTTATATGCTTGTAAAAATTCACGTTGATCGGATATTGATAGATATCTAATCGGATCAGATTTCTGTCAACTGTTTATTTTTTCACTGTTTATTTTTTTTATACAAAACTGATTTGATCACATAGCTATCGATATCCGATTATCGTGATTTTTTTACAAACATATAGTACTCGACGAGTTCTACACATTGAATGATTCAGATTATCGAAACGGGCCTGTGATGGGCCTCTACGGATCCAACAGAACCCTCCAGTCCGACCACGAACGGGAGGGAAGTCAGTCCCTTTATTACAAAGCTCCATCTCATCATTCCTGTGTGTGGGTTGTGTATTCTCATCATTCGTTTGTGTGGGTGGTGAAGTATGATTTTTAGGTTGTGTTTGATTAAGAAATTTGGGAAAGGATTTGAAAAGAGAAAGAAAAGTTATGAAATTGTGTGAAATTAGATAAATTGTAGGTATATTTTATTTATATTTTATTTATTTATTTTTTTTTCCTTTCTAATTTTTTTTTTTAAATTTCTCAATCAAATATAGTGTTAGATAGTTATATCTATGTTTTTTTGCATACGTTGTTGTGATCATTACAAGTCAATTATGAGGTACCATGTATACGTGCTTCAAAAACCAAAATATGATATCCAAAAGCACATGCATGTTGGCCCATGCTGCCGGCTAGTGCCAAACACTCAACACAAACACACGTAATTAATTGCAGCCATTGGTACTCTCCAAAAATTTGGAAGCTTGCATGATTGTGATCACCCAGCCTCACTCTTACCCTGCCCTTATTGTAGGGGTGTAATTTGGTCGGGTTGAGAGGTTGTCTAAACTTAGTTCAAGTCTGTTTAAGTTCAAATTGTAACCCGAGATTGTCTGTCAAAGTCCGATCCAATTTAAACCCGAGTTTTCCGAATTGTAAATGAATTTCAATTTTTTTTTGTTTGCAACTTCATTATTAAATTATTAAAATTTGACTCTGTGTACAATTTTTTTTTTTATTTTTTTTTTATAGAAAATCATTAATACCATCAAAACAAATAGTTTATAAAATGTAAGACAGATGTCACTATAATAGTCCTTACAATTTATGAGTAAAAATAAAAGGAAAAAAAGTAAGATTTTATGTTATTTGTATATATAATATATATTCAATATGATTTAATAATATAAATTACTTTAATATTATGTAATGACTAATAATTTATGTATATATTTAATATTTTTAGAAATCTATATATGTATAATTCGGGTTTCGAGTTGCTCGGGTTGTTTCACGTCTTTGTCCAAGTCCGTCCAAATTTAATTCGGGCTTCTGAATTTTTCTCTAAGCCCATACTGAATTTAAAAATATTTTGTCCCAATCTTAAAAAAATTCGGGCTAAGCACGAATTATTCGGGTTGACGCCTAAGTTGCACCCCTACCTTATTGAGTGAATTGACATATTGTGGGTCTTTTGACTGGGAAGGAACTAGAAGGCATTTGAGCTAGAATACACCTTTTTAAGTTGAATGGATAGAATGAAAATTTTAGGAATTGGGAACTCTTGGTGCAAAATTTTGCATGCTTCCGATTTATGACTCTAATGCACAAGAGACTAGTCTTTTTACCATAAACTCAAAATAAATAATATAATAATGATGAAGAAATGATGAAGATGATGTGTGTATGATTATTTGGGAAGTGATTTTGTGGGTTTTTTTTTTGGCTATTTTAGTTTCAAAAGATAAAATAAGTTATTTAGTCACAACAAACAAAATATCAGATCCAACTCATAATCATTACACTATTTTCTCACAAAAAAAGTTAAAAAAGTTAAAAAGCCCTTCCCAAACCAAATTTTTTAACCCAGACTAAAATAGTCAAAAAAATCAAAAAATCAAAAAGTCAATTCACTTCCCAAACCAATCCAAAAGAAGACAAATGAGACATGTTGTCTTCTATTTAACCAACCAAGGTATTGGCTCCACTCAGGGTGATTGTGGATAATTTGTGATCTAAAGCAATAATTAAAAATGAGGCCTTTTATTTAATATTTTTTTAATAAAATTTTTATTTAAAATTTATTTTTCTAATTTTTTGAGATGCAAAAATATTAATTAAATCTTTATATTGAAGTTTTGCTAACAAATCTTTTTCAATTGACAATAAAGCTAATCCATTTAAGTTTTTTTATATTCAGATTCATATTTTTTATTAGACATATTTGTTTTCTCCAAAAATAATCACAAAAAAAAATAAATAAAAAGAAGAGCAAAACACTAGAAATAATAAAAATACAAATATATATATATATATATATATATTGAAAGGGTAAAATAATAAAATTTGATTTCCACTTTCAATGATAAATAATAGATATTGATCAAATGTGTAATTAAATTTCCTACAATTTTTTCAACATTAGAAAATTTTATTTAAATTAGAAATATAATTAAAAGAAAATATAAAAAACAAATTTAAACAATTTACCTTAATAATATATCATTTTGTGAAGTGGTTGATGATGAATCAATATGTTTGACAGAATTGTAAAAGAATGAGTAAACAAAACTTGAAAGAATAGTGCAGAGAGAAAAGGAGAGAGAGAGAAATATCTTTACAATCAAGGAAGTAATTATTTCACTTCCACTATAACTTGACCGTTCCCATTTAAAAATAAAAATAAAAAATAAAAAATAAAAATTGTAATTTTGCAAATTTTTTTTAGTAAGATAAACTTTGGGCCTTTTTGTTTTGTTTTGTTTGAGGCATTTTGTTTTGTTTTGGACCTTTTTATTCAAAACTAAATAAATATTGAATCACATGAGCCTATTACATTATATAAAAAAATTGAACCTTCTTAAATTTGAGGACCTAAAGCTTGGGCTCGGCTGGCTTTATGGTCCAGCCGACCTTGGCTCCACTCATCTCATTAATACTCTTATATTGTGTTTGGTTAGGAGATTTAGAGAGGGATTTGGAAAGGGAAAGGAAAAATGCGTGTGAAATTAGGTGAAATATATGAATGTTTTATTCACATTTCACCTACCTTTTCTATTTTCCTTTCCAAATCCCTCCCAAAATCCCCTAACCAAACACAGCATTATTGATTTAAGCATGTTTAAGTGATAATTCTGAAATATTGAATAATAACTTAATAGGTGAATGTGTGGCATGATTTTTTATACCATTATAGCATTATAGGTATGATTTTAGGAGTCATTTATAATCCAACTTCTCTTTTAGGTCAAATCTTTAATCTACTCGATCACCATGCTTTGATTAACTCAGCATATTTTATTCGATCACTTTTATTCAGTTTTGACACCTTGAGTGAAAATATACTCAACATAAACTAATATATAGGAAAAAGCTTCGGACCCCAGTGGGATACTGGGGGTCGCGTGTGATTAGTCCAAAAGAAAAAATTATTTTTTTATTTTTTATTTTTTTATATTTTCTGCCAACCACATACTGTCACGTCACTGGGGTGTGACCCCCACTGGGGGTCCGAAACACAGCTCTATATATAGCTTCAGACCCCAGTGGGGTACTGGGGATCGCGTGTGATTGGTCCAAAAGAAAAAATTATTTTATTATTTTATTATTTTTTATTTTTTTATGTTTTCTGCCAACCCCATACTGCCACGTCACTGGGGGTGTGACCCCCACTGGGGGTCCGAAGCACGGCTCTATATATATATATATATGTATATATATATTATTTTTACTCTACACACATAATACAAAAGTATATATTGTCTATGTGCAACAGGTTGATAGAGAGATTTACAACAAACTAGTAAGCTTTAGTCTATAGTTGTTTGCAAGTAGGATGTGGCTTTGCTTGGTAGAAAATGGAATGCATATACACACATTTAATAATTATGTAGACCATGGGCATGCATAAATAGTTGTGCCTTAATGTACCACTTCCATTGGTTTTCCAAAGTCTCAAAGGGAGAGAAAAAATGAAGACATAGCTCGTGGTTAATTATTACTCGTCCGGTACTTAGATTTCTCAAATCTAAACTTTTATATTTCTTTGTCTTATGGTCCAAGTGCATGTATTATTAAATACGGAAAATACTCTCTTATAGTTTATTTCATTTTTTGAAAATTGTATTGGATAATTTGGTGCAATTTTTACTTACATTTTGTGAGGTAAAAAATAAGTTGATTATTAGAAAGTAGTCAAAGAGATTCTTTAGTTTTTGTTTCTGATTATCAAACCAAATAGGTCCAGTATTTAGGTAATATTCTCAATAAATTATAAACAGCAATAACATACTCAATGAGTTTTGTTTTTGTTTTTGTTTTTTTTTTTGAGTCTAACTAACTAAAAAAAAATGAGTCAACATGTATCATTTGCAATTTTTGCTTACAATGAGGTAGAAATAATTTAAATAAATTAATTATTGAAAAATAATCAAAGAGGTACTTTTGATTTTGCTTTTGGTTATCAACAGCCAAACAAATCCAGTGTTTAGGTAATATTGTCTGTGTGGGTGATTTTTTGACCACAGTGCCAAACAGGTACCCAGCTAGAGAGCACCGGTAGAATAGATTAAGCCCGAACGACCTGCAACAGAAAGAAGAGTTTCTGGCGGTATCTCGTCCACCCGGGAGCACTCCGACGATCAAGTCAGTACTCAATATCTCTAAAAGATAACCAATAGTGCTTAACTCACTAGACAGAATATCAAAAGCATAAAAGACATGCCTTAGACCCATGAGAGTGCCTCTTTTTTATAGCCAACATAATCCTAGTCCCAATAGAAACCTAGCTCTAATGGACTAAGGATTACTGCTAATCTTGGACTCCTAGTAAGATTAGGATAAA